TTAATCTCATTGATTCATCTTTGATCCTTTGCTTAGATCTGAAAGGCTGTGGGTATACGGGTACTGAAAAAGATTTCAACTTTCTCATCCATTCACTATAAAACCTTTATCAACCCGGTCTCTTCCATTCTTCCTCACACCCTTCAAGCTTCAAGACTAAACAAAGCTTATTCACCATTCTCTCTCTTTTTCATTCTCTCATTTCGTTCTCTAGACCCACAAAAGGTGAAACTTAAAACGGTGCCTGAGGCACTAAAGATCGAAGTTTCTGATGAGACGCTCGGTGAGAAGAACAAGAACAAGCTCCAGTTCATTTAGGAAGTGACCTCAAACGCTGATGATGTCCAGAGAAGGGGTTTTGAGGAGATCCTCTCACGCAATGCTGACGTGGAGTATCTCAAACGTCACGGGCTCCAGGGACGAACCGATCGTGAGACGTTCAAACACGTCATGTCTGTCGTAACGTACGAAGATATTTAGCCTGAGATCAACAGAATCGCTAATGGCGATAAGTCTCAAATCCTCGGTTCTAGCCCCATCTCTGAGTTCCTCACTAGGTTTGTCCATTGTTACTTTGTTTTTTATCTGTTTCATCAAATCGACTGAGATGTAATATTTGAAGCTTTATTGGCCAATCTTGGATTTTAATGGGTACTCAAAAATATTTCAACTTTCTCATCCATTCCCTGTTAAATAGATGTGAGTACTGCTCTTATTGAACATGTAGTTGTTGTACTCATAAGTTGTTGTTCCTGTAGAATCTTGCCTCTGCTTTCTCAGTAGAAACTTCTTTTTCACATTTTAATCGATATAGATCGACTTCAGACATTAAAACGAAACTCCAGGAAGAGAAAGCTGGCCTCAGCTGGTAATGCAAGGAGTCTCCAACTTCGTTGACTCCAACTTCGTTGACTCCAACTTCCAATTCAAAGGTTTTTTATTTCACAATCTCTCTCTTGCCTGTGGATATAAGAAACATGTATTCTTTATGGATTCGTGAACCGTACTTATAAACGCTGGAAAGATTTGACTTCCTTTTTCTGTGTTGCAATGTCTCTTTCAGAATATCAATATATGTGTGTGTGTGTGTGTCGTACTTCAGTGACCTATATTGACTCTAAAGATTTGTGCTGATAGGTAAAGGGCTTCTGAAGTACTTCTACAGTCTTATGTATACACACTAAAAGTTGGTAAGTATCAGTTTGTGTGGTTCTCCATCAGGTGCATTGATATCGGACACCAATATTTTACCTTTTGCATGATCTTTCAGTGGCTCCTCTCTGGGATCCATGCAACATACCGACTGCTGCAGATGCTCTGTACGTCACGTTCTTTCAGGTAAACCAAAGAGTATTTGCTTCAACACTATGGCTGTTACCGTTCCTGTCTTGATCTTGGCTGATATATTTTTTGTGTGTGCACGGCTAATAGATATTTCATAGTTTAAAATTGTTCATTGTCATTTTCGCTATTCTTAAATGGTATAACATAACAGTTACATTCGTTTTATTATGTGTTTGTGTTGAAGTTGCAATATCTCTGTTTTTATCATTAGATACGTGGTGCTCAAAATCTTTCAAGGAAATTCAACTGAAGCAAAGATTATGAAAGCTAATGTTTTTTCAGCTCGAAAGAGATTCCACTTTGCAATCTCTTTCGATTTTCTATGTTTTGACGTCGCGTTTCTGTGTTTTGACGAAAGTATGGTTGTAGTCTAACTCTTTTGGTGTTGTGCAGGTGAGGCACTACCTATGTGAAAAACCTCTTCAAGATGTGTTTTCTAGAAAGCTAGAAGATGAGTAACATTTGAGAATAATATGTAATTATTTAAAGTTTCAATATCTCCGACTAATTCATTTTGCACTACTTTAAGATTCAGTAACTTTTGATACTTTGGAGTCTAGACTTATAGTTTTCTTTTCTTTTACATTGCTCCTGCTCCGTCAAGCAAAATCTAATTGTGATTCTCATCTGCTATGTGGATTTTGCACAGTATGGTACTAAGTCGTTGTTGTTCATTTGTTGACTTTCTTCTAGGGGAGATTTATAAAGCTGTTACGATTGTTATCTCTACATAGTGCCGTGACTTGCTAAATTGATTCTACATCATGCAGAAGCTTTTTGTTTAGAGGAAATAGGGAAATAACATTCATGTTCTGCAGGTGTAGAGGTCTTGAACATCAGGTTGATTTAGATGATATCATAGTTTATAAGATTGGTTTGTCGTTGAAATGACATTGAGGGATCAGTTGAGTAAGATGAAAGAAAAAGGAATGCAGTGAAAGAAGAAAGAAAATTTGCTTGATGAGAATTGCTTAATAAATCTGAAATGTGTAGATCATAGAAAACAGTTTTCAGTTCTACACTATGAAGAAGTGTAGAAGTACGAACCACATTAATGATTATCTTTTTTTAAAGATTTTAATAACTTAAAAATTAAGATCATTGTCGTCAAGGAGAAAATAAAGAATAAGTGTCATAAAAAATTAGAAAATAAAGAATAAGTGGCATCAGCCCCACCACTACGTCGAAGTCTATTTAAGATGCAACCAAAACAATTGGTCTTACTTTAAATCGAACCACTTAACATAAAAGGAATTATTATTTTCGTATTTTGAAAATAATTTTTAATATGTAATCAAAACAATTGGTCTTACTTTTGTTCAAAAAAAAATTGGTCTTCTGGACTCCCATATGTTTTCTCATACCAATGTACCATATGTGAAGTTAGAGGACAAATTGGTGAACACATCTAACAACGGTTAAGGTATCAGGTTTTAAACTTGACATACCAATCTCGCTCTTCGTTGGTGGTTTCAATGTCTTAGTGATCAATATGCTTGATGATATCATCAAAGAAGTTGGATATACTCCTGAAGTCTTTTCCAGGGAACCACAACCCGTTTTTATTAACTGCCCAACAAATTCAAAGACCACTAAGAAAAACAGACATAAGGGTTAATAGATACTCTGAATTGGAACATAAACATAAACAGGCTCAATCGCTGCTGGAGTAACAACAAGAAAGCTATACAGCAGTTGAAAGTTGTCTTCAAAAATCTGTATAAGAGAAACATGCGGAAGTTCAAACCACAATCCAATTGCTATCACAATGACATGGAGACCAACTGAAACCATTGCTTCTACTTCAATCAAGTCAAGAGATTCATACACCCATCAAGATCTTAGTTCTTCTACATGCTGTATCAAACAGATTTCCCACAAGTTTGTACAACAAATAATATATGGATTGCTTCTTATAATTGATGTTTCATCCCCACATTAATCGTTCTTGAGTCATCTTATACAAAAAGATATAGATTCCAAACGTTTGAGTAGAACTAAAAAAACTGGTACACACATTGCGAATTAACTTTTTTTTTTTTAATAAAAGGGAAGACTGCCAACCAAATTAACAACAAACAATGCGTATACAAAATTTAGAGAAATTCTTGGTTTCACCCCCTACAGTAAACCTCTAGGTTCACCAACCAATAGAATTTCATTATTTCATATTCAGTATCTTTTAAAAAAGGAAAGAAAATATTATCAATTTATATTATGTTTTTAAAATTAAAAGATAAATATAAATAACTGTAATTGCAAACAATTTTTTTTTAATTTTTTTTTAATACCGTCAGCAAAACACTAAACTATAAATCCTTGGGTAAATCCTCAATTCTTGGATTAATCTTAAACCCTAAAATTTATGATTAATCCAAAGGTTTCGAATTTACCCAAGAGTTTAAGGTTTAGGATTTAGGGTTTAATATTTTGCTGACGGTATTAAAAAATATTTTTAAAAATTCAAGGTTTATCCAAGGATTTAGGATTTACAAAAAAAGTTATAAGGTTTAGGATTTAGGGTTTAGGATTTATTGTTTTGATATCTTATACTCCCTCCATTTCAGATTAAATGTCATTCTAGAATAAAATTTTCGTTTCAAAATAAGTGTCATTTTATAATTTCAATGCAAAATTTATTGATTTTAAAAATCATTCTATTTTTTCATTTGTTGAAAAGCGGTTAGGTAATTGTGTTTTTATTTTGAAAATATGTAAAATTAATTGTTTTCTTAATCTGTGTGTAAAAACCTAGAATGACAACTAAATTGAAACGGAGGGAGTATATTAAAACAGAAGTCATGACTTGACTTTATGTGTGATTTTCTTAAAAATGGACTATTACTAGAAAATCATGTTACATTAACTCTCTAATAATCTTATCATTATTATATATTATGAAAAATCATATCTATAATAACAAAGATACGCTTAACAAATTGGTTTATAAGGAAATATATTAACAAAAATCACAGATTCGTAATATGGAATATTTATATACCCTAACAAAATTTACACGCTATATATACTAGATAATTTTATTTCGATGTAAAATTTTAAAATTATATTGATTTAAAAAAAATAAATTGTTTAAAAAGTTCATTTTTAATAAAATTCTTTATAATATTAATTTATGAAGCTATAAGTTTAGTTTTTAGCAAATATTTCTTCGAAGTTTATATTATCTTTGCAAATTAAAGTCTACTAATATTTAATCAAGTTCTATTTATATTATTTTATCTAAAAATGAAATACTAATCTAACAAACAATAAAATATAGAAGAAGAAACAAACTCATGTTTGAAAAACATGTATAATATAGAAAATTTGAAACAATCTATTTGATTAAAACATTTATTATATAATATTATTATGTTTGAAAAACATATACTATACATATCGTAAATATGTGATTATTATAATATATATCAATTTACAAGTGAAAATAAAATGTTTATATAACTAACAATAAACGAAAACAAACATCTGCACGGTTGCACGGGTCAAAATATAGTTAGTGTAAAAAATAATTTTTTTTTGCATCTACTATTATTTTTTATTTATTTTTATCTTTAAATTTTTAAAACAATATAACTCGACAATATTATTTTTTTCTTTTTCTAAAAAATGCTAAATATAAAATAACATAATCTTATTGGTTGATGAACCTAGAGGGTGAACTTAAGAGTTACTCCAAAATTTATATCGTAAAGAAAAAACTACTTCACATTCTGGGCGTAGCGCGGACGAGTCGTAGTATTTTAAATAACATATCTTAATCATAGAAACTGATTTTAAATTTTACGTTTAACTCAAAAGCTCGAATTAACTTGGGATTTCCAATCCAAATAGCTCTCAACGATGTCTAGACCACATAGCTCCTTCACAACGGGCATTGAAGCAGGAACAGGCAACTGAAACATTAAACTCGGACCATCCTCACCCTTCCAAATCCTCAGCTGTTTCCGCGCTTCTTTAACGGCCTCTCTTGTAGCGCAGTGCACTGAAGCTGCCAGTAGCAACGGAGGTTCTCCTGAAGCTGTATTTACATACAAACAATAATATGATCGAAAAGTTGATTCAAAGATCTTGATATGTTTTGTGTGTACAAACTACGGACCTTTAGAAGAGAGTACACGCTTTTCATGGCATCCACTGTTTAGTATCTCAACGTTGAACTGTCTTGGGATGGTGTCTACGGTCGGTATCTTGTATGTCCATGTGCTGTCTGTCAGAAGGCGTCCTTCTGAATCTGTTATATACTCTTCAAGCATGAAAAAACCAAGTCCTTGGACAAAAGCTCCTTCAATCTGAAGGACGGAAAACACATCACAAATTGGTATGTTTGGGTGAAGAATCAATGTGCTCGCTTTATTCATAATAATACCTGTCCTAAATCGACAGCAGGATTGAGGCTTTTTCCTGAGTCATATAAGATATCTGTCTGTAGAACCGTGGTCTTTCCGGTCACAAGGTCTACCTCAACCTAATATATATATATATATTAACACCAATGATTTTGATATACCATAGGTACTCAATTTCTCTATTTCCAATTCAGAAGATAATTGGGAGAAGACACAAAAGAGCTTACCTCACTAACTGCAACACCATAGTTCAAGTATCGTGTGGGAGTTTCTCCTGGAGTATACAAGTCACTAGCTGATAGGTTCACTGACTGAGCATAGGCCTGCGTTTGTACGTAAAGAATCAAGAATGAAAGAAAAAAAAATGAAGAAGCAGTGAGTTAAGAAAACCTGAGAAATCAAGTTATTCCAGCTGATGGGACCACCCGATTTCTCTATCAAAGGTTTCAATCTTTTGACTAAGGTTTCGCAGCAAAGACGAACAGCTGCGCAGCTTCCCTCAGATGTTGTGCTACCTCCTGTAAAGTTTCCTTGGACCATACTCAATGTATCTGATTGTACAACTCGTATCTTGTCGACAAGCTCTTCAGTTCCATCGCATTGAAGCAAACCAAGAGTATAACCAGCCATTTGCTTCACCTTTGTCCATAGCCCTTGTCCTAACTCGATTCCACCAACCTCAACAACTATTGTTCCATCGCTCAAAACACTTACTCTCCCTGGAGTTGCAAACATGGAAACCGGATAAATGATTGGTACTCGAGATATCCCTCGTTTTCTCCATATGTTAGACCCGTTGAAGTCTCGCACTGTTGAAACCCGCTCTTCAAACTTTGATGATACACCCATCTTATCCCACATGGAAGACAAAGTATACTCATGTGGTTCACCTGCAGCATCCTTGTAGAAGAGAGCTAAGCTCTCATATGTATGGAGATTAATCTTTCTTATGGTATCAACCTCCAAGGAGAGGCTAGAGGCTACATTTTCGATAATGGCTTCAGCGATATAGGTACCCTGAACATCCCCTGGTGCCCTCATGATTGCTTTGCTTAGCAGGTTCGTTTTACAAAGTTTGATATCAAAAGATAAGGCTCCCCAATTGTACTTTTTTAACGCCCCTATGATATTTGATGGCATCAGCATACTTAGACCAAGAGTTGCTCCTGCATCAATTAGTATTTCTAGCTCCAAAGCTGTGATCTTCCCTGTGGATTTGAATCCAACACTGTAAGTTATCTTCATTGGATGCCTCCCACCAGTCATGATCATATCCGTCTTACGGTTTACATATGTCCGCACAGGACGCTGCAGTTTATTAGCAGCAACAGCGCACGCTGTTGCAACCTGAGACAATAATAATGCAAAAAGCTTTTATTCATTGGTTCATTTCTTGCAGAAAAGAGAGAGAGGTGACATTTTTTTTTAAGAAAACATACGGGCATTGATCTGACAGCTTTGCCTCCGAAACCTCCACCGACACGTCTTGTTATGATACGGACCTTATTTTCAGGGATGCCTAGGGAAGCAGCGACCGTGGAGTGTACGTACTGAGGGATCTGACATGAACTATAGACTACGATTGAGTTGTCTTCATCTGGCACTGCAAGAGCTGTTTGCGTCTCCATGTAGAAGAAGTATTGCGACCCAATTCTTATCTGTTTGATATGAAAAGTTTTTTAAAAAAAATATAAAAGGAGAGAGAGTACACATCACAATACATACTTCCGAGCTGAGAATTCGATGATCAGCTTCAGACATTCCTTTTGATGTGTCTCCAACTTGTTGTGGATATAAGAAAGGATAAACCTCAAATAAGCTAGATTTCTTAACAGCCTCATCCACAGACAAGATCGGTGGTTCCAAACCATCAGTCTCGTAATCAACTACTGCTAGAGTAGCTGCACTATCCGCATGTCTCTGCGTATCCGCAACCTTGCAAAAAAAATAAAAAATTATGTGTTTGTAGTGATTGGAACATAACTTAAATTCACTGACATTATATGATCAGTAGACTTACCACGAGTCCGATGCATTGGCCAACATGAAGGGTGAACTCATCAGCGAATAAGGGCTCAGTGAAAGATGAAAACTTAAAACCAACATTGTTTCCACTTTTAGGAACATCCTTGCAAGAAATGACTCCAACAACTCCATCAGGTACCGAGTTCTCCTTGAAACGCATACCTTTTATCTTTGCGAATGGCTTTGTGCTGTATATGAAAGCTCCATAGAGGCAGTTTGTGGGAGCTGGAATGTCATCCACATAAACAGCCTCACCAGAAGCTTGAAGAGATGCTCCAGATTTAGTAGCAGCCTCACCAACCGGATAAAATTCTTTGTCTATTAGAACACGTTGTGAAGAAGACAACATCGGCTGATCCAAGTGTGAAGAAGGCTGTTTCTCTGTTTTTAATGAGTGCAAGAACTTGAAAAGAAAGCCTGGAGCTAAGCTTGACCTATAAGCAAGATTGCTTGTACCGTCTTGTGGTCTAACGATTTTGCCAAGTAAGGTAATAGCTTCATACAGAACATTGTCAGTGATTACTTTCCCAGAGAGGAACTCTTCAACTTCCTTACACCTAATGGCGTGTTTGGTCCCGAAAGCACCAAAAGCCAATCTACAGTTAATAATCACCTTTGTATCCTTCACTTCAGCTAAGAAAGCCGCATTCAGGTAAGCCAAAGCACTTCCCTGCGGGCGCGGTGCTGCTCGGTAGGTTTCAAAGAGTAACTCAGAGTTTGTTCCAGAAGAAGAATGTTCATGATGCCAAAACGGTATTTCGATACTCAAAACCAGATCATAAGCATCAAGAGGAGGTCCCTGGAGAAACTCTTCAAGTGTTACCTTCTCAATTCCTCTCGACAAGCTCATTATGTTAATAGATGCGCCAGCTGCAACAAGTATCGTAGCCATGTCAGAAGGAAAATGTTGCCTCTGAGCCATTATTAGGTTTCCTCCAATGCTACCAATGTTCCTAATAAACCTCGCAGCGATCTTCTCCATATGAGCAGCGAGCTTCCCAAACAACATCTTTGATAGTCTCATCTCTTTTAGAGCAGCAATAACTTTAGATATTGTTACCACAGCTCCTATCTCAACCCTATCGTGACGTTCTCTTACCTCTCTCATCTCGGCTATTCGCGTCAAATCCACGTATTTATCATAACTGCGCTCTTTTTCATCCTTGTAGTATCCTGTACTAGTATTACCCGCAACTAGCTTCACAGAAACTACATCATCACTATTGGCCTTACAAGCTCCCAATAAACTCTGAAGCTCCTCAACACTCTCTGGGCTACACCATTTATACGATCCAAAACCAATACACTTAATCTCATCCTTAAGAAACTCTGGAAATGTACAGACACGCTTCTCACTATCAAAGCGAGGCAAAGAGTCTCCTTTCTTACAGAAAGAGTTGAATCCAAGATCCTCAATGTCTACATTCGAAGCAAAGCTCTTGCAAGCATCAATGATGGGACGGTATCCGGTACACCGACACAAGTTCCCGGAGACAGCTTTCTCTGCTTCAAGAACCGTAAACTCCTGAGAGGAAGATTTAGTAGAGTCTAAGAGAGCAGAGAAGAGAGAAACAGACATTCCGGGTGTGCAGAAACCACACTGAGATGCGTGAAAACCGGTGAACCGATTGTGAATGGAGTGGAAACCGTCTCTGCTGTTTCCAAGTCCTTCTGATGTTGTGATGCTGCAATGGTTTACGCTGCAGAGGAGCGTGAGGCAAGAGCTGGCTGTGAAATCTTCCACGTTTTTGAGAATAGGATCGTATCTGGAGAGAAGAACAACACAAGCACCACATCCTCCTAAAAGCCAGACACGAAGAGGGGTGTCAAAGAAAGAAGAAGAAGAAGAAGAGGGTAATGAAGTAATCACTGACCTTCGCCGCAGCTGAGCTTGACGCTCTTAAAAGGAGTCTGATAACGGAGGAACTCTAACAAAGTTGTTGAAGGGTCGACGGAGGAGAGCTCAAGCTCGAACCTTTGTCCATTAATGGCTAAAACCAAGCTCATTTTCTCTCTCTCTCTCTCTTATCTCTCTCTTCACTTATTGGGCATACATATTCTGACTACTGCTTTATCCACGAATAAAATAGATATATTACCGACTCTGAAGATCTATGAGGGCAATCGCTTTCACCCCCACTAGAGAGTAGACTATTTGACTTTTTCTATATATATTTTCAAAAATATTACACTATAATCCACTTTAAAATTAAATCTTATATATTAAAACAGAAGTCATGACTTGATTTCATGTATGATTTTTTTAAAAATGAGTTATTACTAGAAAGTTATGTTACATTAACTCTCTAATAATCTTATCATTATTATATCTTATAATACGCTTAATAATTTGGTATTGGTAAATTACCCCACACCTTCCAATTTAGTCACATAAAATATGTCAATAGATNAAATCTTATATATTAAAACAGAAGTCATGACTTGATTTCATGTATGATTTTTTTAAAAATGAGTTATTACTAGAAAGTTATGTTACATTAACTCTCTAATAATCTTATCATTATTATATCTTATAATACGCTTAATAATTTGGTATTGGTAAATTACCCCACACCTTCCAATTTAGTCACATAAAATATGTCAATAGATATAAGTTTAGGAATCTTCTATTATTATAAGGAAATATGTCAATAATAGTTAAATGCATCCACAATATATTAACAAAAATCACAGATTAGTAATATGAAATATTTATATACTCTAATAAAATTTACACGCTATATATATTAGATAAATTTATTTCGATGTAAATTTTTAAAATTATATTGTTTAAAAAAATTGTTTAAAAAATTCCTTTTTAATAAAATTCTTTATAATATTAATTTATGAAGCTATAAGTTTAGTTTTTAGCAAAAATTTCTTCAAAGTTTATATTATCTTTGCAAATTAAAATACACTAATATTTAATCAAGCTCTATTTATATTATTTTATCTAAAAATGAAATACTAATCTAACAAAGAATAAAATATAGAAGAAAAAACAAACACATGTTTGAAAAACATGTATAATATAGAAAATTTGAAACAATCTATTTGATTAATACACTTATTATATAATATTATTATGTTTGAAAAACATTTACTATACATATCGTAAATATGTGATTACTATAATATATACCAATTTACAAGTGAAAACAAATTGTTTATATAACTAACTATAAACGATAACAAACACCCGCGCGGTTGCGCGGGTCAAATTCTAGTNATATAGAAAATTTGAAACAATCTATTTGATTAATACACTTATTATATAATATTATTATGTTTGAAAAACATTTACTATACATATCGTAAATATGTGATTACTATAATATATACCAATTTACAAGTGAAAACAAATTGTTTATATAACTAACTATAAACGATAACAAACACCCGCGCGGTTGCGCGGGTCAAATTCTAGTTATATTTAAAATAGAATTTATTAATATTTTCTTATTTTGATTAATATTTAATATAAATTAAATTTAACTAAGCATAAAATTAAAAAAAAAATTGTTTATTTTGAATTATATTTAATAATATATATGTAATATATTTACAATTCTAATTTTAATTTTTTTTATCTATTTTTTTTGGTTAAATTTATTAAATCAACTTGTAAAATTACTAAGACATTTTTGCTTTATTAAATATTAGTATACTTTAATTTGCAAAGATAATATAAACTTCGAAGAAATTTTTGCTAAAAACTAAACTTATAGCTTCATATATTAATATTAGAAAGAATTTTATTAAAAAATAATTTTGAAACAATTTCTTTTTTTTAACAATGTAATTTTAATAATTTACATCAAAATAAATCACACATGAAGTCAAGTCATGACTTCTGTTTTAATAGATAAGATGTCATCGGTTTGTTGTAAAAATGAGAGAAATTACCTAGACTAACTCTAAATCATCTAAAAATTACTAGACTAACTCATATTTAATTTTAATTACTAGAGTACAATTCAGTATAAACGAAATTACTAAAAGACCAGTTCCATGTTTCATTAACTAAGAAATTGCCACAGAAAAAAAAAACAAATATCGACAAAACTAAATTACCTTTTATTCTTCATCTCTCTCACGACATCTCTCAAACGAGAGGGAGAAGAGAATCTCCAGAAAAGAGCTGCCACCGTCGATATCTCCTCACTCTCAGCCGCCGGGATATCTCCTCCGTCACAGCCGCCGACGACACCATCTCTCTCCGATAAGCTTCCGTCGAGGACACCATCTCTCCGCCGTCAATATCTCTCGCCGACGACACCATCTCTCTCCGCCGACGACACATCTCTCTCCAGAGCCCTTCTACGCCGCCGTCGACACCACCATCTCTCTCCAGAGCCCTTCAACCGGTAAGTGATTTAATTTTGATTTGAAAACCCCAATTTCATGAACCCTAATTTTAATTTTCAAAACCCCAATTTCGTGAACCCTAATTTTAATTTGAAAACCCCAATTTCGTGAACCCTAATGTTAATTTTCAAAACCCCAATTTCGTGAACCCTAATTTTAATTTCGAAAACCCCAATTTCTTGAACCCTAATTTTTATTTCGAAAACCCCAATTTCGTGAACCCTAATTTTTTTTTGGATTGAGATGTTTAATTTCGAAAACCCTAATTGCATGAACCCTAATTTTTTTTTTGTTAAATCAATCCAATTTTTTTTTGTAATTTCGAAAACACTAATTTTAATTTTAAGTAAAAGTAAAACTGGATGCATTTCGTTTGTTGAGTACCAGACTCTAAATCAATCCAATATTTTTTGTGACTCATAATTTAAGAAAGCTTAAATTTGTAATGCCAAGTTCAGAAAATAATTTTCTCTGTAAATCTCTAGTTTAATGTCTACTATTCGAAATGCTTTTTTGTTGTGTAGAGAAGACACTAACTTGACAAATTCTTTTTTTTTTTTCAGGTATGGAGTCTTCTTCAGGAATGAGAAAGTATCCTCCTCGTCTGTTTGAGGTTGGAAAAACTCCACTTGAAAATAGGAGCATGAACCATAATTGTCATCTCTCCAACATTCAACACGTCAGAGAAGAACTTGGGGAAGATGTTTGGTCTGAGTTGAGGGATTCAGCTATTGGAGTTATTGTGAAGCTGAAAGAGGTCAAGTATATTTGGTCTGCGAAACTTGTTCACCATTTCCTTGCCAATCAATTGGCAATCGAGAGCATTCATGAGCTTTGGTCTTTGATAGATTGTATGCCATTGCGTTTCAGCTTGTATGAGTTTGGAGAGATTACAGGTCTTAACTGTGATCCTTTCGACAAGGATGACGTTTGGGATGTGGATCATCGAGAGTTTTGGCGGGAGATGAACATTCCGACATCAGATGGACCTACATTGCAAGAGTTGCAAGACATATTTCCTGTTGCCAGAAACTGGCCTCGAGAGAAGCGAGTGATGATTGGTTTGTTGTGTCTCCTATCCATTGGTATATTTGGTGTTTCAAGCAACAGCAGAATTCCTTGGCATTGTGCTAAAAGGGTGATGGACGCTGCAGCTTTCCAGCGATATCCATGGGGTCGTGTTGGATTTAGCAGCCTTGTTGACTCCATCAAAGTACTCGGATATGATGGAAAGCAGAGTTATACACTTCACGGCTGTATTCATGTGCTCCAAATATGGATTTATGAGTCTGTCCATGGCTTAGGAGAAATACATGGGAATCGAATAGAGGGAGCTGATGTTCCTCTTCTGTCATGGGGCGGATCTCGTGCATGTGTTAACTTCGAAGACTTTTGTGCCCAAGAAAAAAAAAGTATCAGGAGGTATGAACATATGAACTGTTTCTTACATTTAATTTTTGTTTGTCTTACTAATCTTGTATATTACTTTGCAAGTTCGTGTGAGGCATATGATTATGAAGCCAGTGGAGGATATATATCCGAAGTGGGACAATGTCAACATCTCTACTGATCTGGACAACATGATAAAAGATATCCTCAATGGACAGCTAAATGAGAAGTTTTGGGATGCAACGCCAACTACCAAATGCGAGAAGGGAAAATATGGTGTTGCCGCATCTGTTGTTCCAAACCAGAGCCCTTCTACTAAGCGGATAAAAGACAAACAGCCTGCTGATGGAGGTGAAGCACCTGATATGGTATGTACAAAATGTTTCTGTAGTTAGTTATAAATTTTTTTTTTAACTGACATGGTTTTGTTTTGTAACTGTTATTCCAAACCAGAGCCCTTCTAGTAAGCGAAGAAAAGGCAAACAACCTGATGATGGAGGTGAAGCAGCAGATGTTGTATGTACAAAATTTAGTTAGTGATAGAATGTAGTTTTTTTTAACTGACATGGTTTTGTTTTGTCTGTGCATATGTAGCTTCCAACTTACAACGTTGCCATACATGGGTTAGTTGAGTCGGTCAAAATCCTCACTGCCAAAATAGAAGGCATCGATGTTAGTTTAGCTGAGTCATTAGAGGCTAATATTGAGGCTAAGGTGGAAGCTAGAATGCGAGTATATGATTCTGACTTACGAAAGCAGATTGCAAAATTGGAGGCACAAATAACTGATATTTTAAACAACAAGGATGCAAACATTGCTCGCGGAAAGGTCACCACCTCCAAGGCGTATGAGGTTGAGGATGATGGTGCTTCTAGCAATGATTTGGTACCATTCTATATCATTTCTTCTTTAGCTTATTTAAATTTTTTTTTTTTTATTAATTATCACTGTCTATTGCTCAGTCATGGATTGTTCAGAAGAAGATTAATTCACAAGATGGATTGCCAGTTGATTGTGTTGTGAAGAAGGAGACAAAAGCTATGAAGAAAATGGATAGCAGCCAGAATCTTTCGAACAAGGAGGTGGAAAAGACTGAGAAGAAAGCTGAAGTTCCACTAAGAAGAGTGAAGCAAGAGAAGGTCGTCAAGATACCACAACTAAATGATGATTCTTTATCGTCAGAAGATTGTGAACATCTTTCACTGTGGGAAAAGAGTGTAACTTGTAGGACTGTGTTGGCAGCACTTGTTTCAAACCTGGAGTAGCCTACACGCAAGCCTCAGTTGACAAAGACTCAAGTTTGGCCGTATGTTGAAAATTCAACAGTGAAGCGTATTATAACTGGTGATAAAGACTCGAAGGAACCTTATGACCCATTAGCTAAGGTGGAGGCAGAGAAACTGAAGAAAGTTTTGGAGTTCATCAAGTCAGATTTGTAAGTTTCCTCTCGTACATCCTTGCTTTTTATTTCGACATAATCTAATAATAATTTTTTCTTCTTTCTAGGGAAGCAAACGAGCTGAGTTTTGGAGATGCGAGCGCTGGGTTTTTCTTGAAGTTAATAATACCTAGGGATGATTGGTAAACAAAATCCTACGGCTGGTTGCAAGACCTTGTAAGTTTAATTTCTGCTTTTTCATGACAAAATATTAAATTACTGCCGGTTGCTGACTATGAATTGTTTCATGTCTTAGCACATTGAAGCAGCAATGGTTATGTTTCACAGACGGTCCAGGCAAGAACAGTCTCCATATTCCTCTTCTCGAATTGGATTCTTGTCTCACTGGTTTGTCAACTCATGGGTGAACGACTACAAGAGCTGGGACCAGAACATGAATGAGTTGTCAGAAAAGTACAGCAAGGCTTTTAATGGCGAACACCCACCTGATTTTGTCACGGGTAAGAAGTGGCTATTGGACGTCGACGATCTTTTTCTCTGCCTCAATGTTCACGGAGATCACTGGGTTGCTCTACGCATCGATCTGAAGAAGGAGAAAATCCATGTCTATGATAGTATTTGCACACACTTGAGTGATAAAGAGATGAAAGAGGTGTGCCGGCCTTTCATGAGAATGATACCGGCAGTGCTTAACAAGATGCTGCCTGCTAAAACAAGGACGAAAAGTGATAAACAGTTCGGTTATATTAGGCACAAGAAGATCCCTCAAAATGAGAACCCGGGAGATTGCGGTGTGTACTCTTTTATGTACATCGAATGTCTAGCTCTTGGACGTAACTTTGAGGGCTTGAATGATCAGATTTATGACACAATTGCGATGGAAGTTGGCTGCTGATATTTATGAGGAGGTGACTAAGACATCCGAGTAAATTAGTCTTCTGTTTGGTTTTCTGGTTTTTTGGTTTTAGACGGATGACAGATGTATTAACTCTCTGTTTTTTTGGCTTTAGACGGATGTATTAACGTGCTGGTTTTTTGGCTTTAGACGAATGTATTAACTTGCTGGAGACGGATGTATAACTTGCTGGTTTTTTTGGCTTATGAATGAAAAATGTTTGGTTATGCAGGTTTTATGAATGGTAAATGTTTAGTTAGGCAGGTTTTACAAAGAATCCAGATGTATCATATGTATAACTTAAGTTTCTGTTTTTTGGCATATGAATTATGAATGTTTGGTTGTATATGTATGTTGATTTGGTTGATACCTACATACGCATGCTATTATAACCCACTTCTCGTGACGTGAATGAAGTAAAAATAAGTATACCAACAAATGTAGCACCAATCAAACTTAAATATAATGACCAAATCCTCAAACTAAATCGAATACCAACAAATGTAGCAGCAATCAAACAGAAATATAATGACCAAATCCTCAAACTAAATCGAATACTCATGTCTAACTAAATCGAATACTCATCACTTAAGAGGACATGTTATAGAATTGTGTCCCACCTGGTTACAAATTCTACATGTGCGTTCCTTTCTTGGCCGCTTCTTATCTGCAACTTTCTCCAAAATAGATTTATGTCTTGATTTTTTTGGTCTTCCTTGTGGTTGGCGAACATCAGGTGGTAAACAGATTTGCTTGGCAACTTTTTCTGGAATTGGAGCAGCATCGTCGTTTGGCATAACAGGAGTGAAATATGCATTGTATAGATACTGCGTCCGATAGTACTTGTGACAGAGTGATATACATGATATCTTTCTAGCATCCGCAGCAGCTATAGCATGAGCACATGGTAGCTTCTCCAAATCAAATCTACGGCAAGAACATGTTTTTTCGGTAAGGTTTACAACATGTAGAGATGAGACTCCTATCACTTGTGACTGATGATTATCTATAGCTTGAACCTTTAAGAGATTTGCAATAGGTATACGGCCATGGAAATGGTTTACACAGTGTACATTAGAAAACAGTCTACCAAAACGCAAAACATAAGCATACATATATACCTCCAACAACTTCTCCACACCACGAGTCAGAAAAGTTTTCATCAAGCCATCATCATATTTTCTTGTTGCAAACCAATGTGTCATCATTAATCGGATAGACTCTAAAAGTCGAACAATTGGCAAGCCTCTCACATCTGACAAAGCTATGTTTATGGATTCAGCTATATTACTTGTAAGGAGGTTATATCTATCACCTCTAAAATGAGCTCGTGCCCACTTACGAACATCAGCACGCTTCAAATATGCATGTAAAGCTGGATTTAACGCTTTAATCGTCTCAAAGGTTGCTTCAAAGTCAGCTACTCTAAAAGAATATGCAGCTTTCTTTACCAATCCAAACAGATCACGTCCTCTGTACCGTAACAAGATGTTTTTATATAAGTGGTACGTGCAAATTCCTGTTCTAGCCAATGGATAGACCACTGCAATAGCCTTCCTTATTGACTTGTTCCTGTCATAAATTAACGCCAATCCTTCATCATCGGGTATCACACAACTGAGTTGACGGAAAAACCATGTCCATGATTCATCATTCTCTGTGTCAACCACCGCAAATGCTATCCGAAATATTTGAAAATTACCATCTTGTGATGTTGCAATGAGAAGTGTTCCTTTGTATTTTCCTTGCAAGAAAGTACCATCAACCACCACAACCTTCCTCATAAATGGGAAGCCAGTAATGCTAGCGTTGGATGCAAGGAATAAGTACTTACATCTATTGTTTGCATCAACGTCCAGTCGAGCTAAAGTCCCAGGATTTGCCATTCAAAGCCTCTGCAGGTAAGAAGTTAATTGCTCGTATCCACTCTCCGATGAACCCATTACGAGATCTCTAGCAACTATAAGTGTACGATGAGCTTTCCAATAATCCATCTGCGAAACATAATAAATATCAACCAAGTTAAAAGCAAGTAAGATCAGATTAGACAGTATAATCGATGTTAAAAATGTAGTCAACTAACCTTGATTTGGAAGCTCATGTTTATAGCACTAATAACATGACGTGGCAACACAGTTGGTTCAACCCCACCAATATAGTCTTTGTACAATAGGCCAAGAATTTCAGGAGTAGCTTGTCGAGAACGAGCAGAACGTTCTGTTACGGAGCAGGAATGTTCAGCTACATGTACTCGGATTGTAAACTTAAAAGAATCACCTACTGGTGAAGCTCTAAGCTTCCACGTACAGCCTTTTACCCAACATTTTACAAACCACAGCGTAGGCGTAGATTTATCCACATCAAAATCGAAATGGTGGACAACTGAATAAACCTTTAGATGTGTCTGTAGTGCAACTTTTGAATCAAAACTCTGCCCCACGTTCATTTTGAAACAGCTCAAGTCGAACCTATTATGTGTACAATCTTCTTTCTGTGTCTTTAGGACTGTGGCGTCTGAAGGCTTTGTTGGAGATTTTTCAGCCTCTTCTACTTGGTCTGGCGGAACCCCATATGACGTAAAGTTTTCGTCTTCAGACGTTACGCCATCAGAATAGTCGCAGTAATCAAAACGATCACTATCTTCATCCGTATCAACATCATTTGTAGATAATGGATCATCATTTTGCAGGGCTTCTTCTGGTTCTTTGCTGGATTTATCAACATCGTTTTTCTTCACTTTAAACTCTACACAGAGTCTAACGTTTTCGACTTTGTGAAGACACAAAAATCCATGAAGCTGCGTATCGTTTCTTACTTTCACAGGAGGGGTATCGAGATTTTCTTTGACTAGCTTACGTTTGGGCAAAAGGTACGCTAGCTCCAACTCGTGTTCTGTGAAATCAACTCCGTAATCCTCATATATGATTTTCACAAAATCATCATATCTCGTCTCCTCATTGGCTGGAAGTAATTTACAACCTTGATCATTATCCACTTCGAATAACCACTTTTTTCTTTCAAATTTCCACTTTCCACAGACAAGAATGATGTGATCCATGATTCTTCAAGCAATAAGGACTGCAACAAGTGATTAAACAACCATGAAAAATACAACTTGAAAAGGAAGAAAAGAAGGATGAAAAAGATGACGACAACTGCCAAAATTTTACCTAATTCAGAGTTTGATTGACCTAAAAATAAACCAAAATCAGAATTAATGTTAACCGGGACGCAATTGGAATTGGTTTACATAAACCCAGAATTCGCCAAAACATCTGCCACAATGTAAATTTGACAAGTCTGCTGCTTCATAAATAAAAAGTCTACCAGAAATTAAAAATCGACTATATAAATCTGTTGTATGAAATAAGTCGAACAAAAAAAATATAAGTTAACCACATAAATCTCTCGTCTCTAACAAATCTGCTACATCATTAGACAGATATATTCTAAAAATCGGTTTTTAAAATCAAATCGGACAATTAAATCTGCTGTGCCAACAAATCTATTGTTTTAACGAAAGTCTGCCACCACGTTAACGGGTAGATTTGTTTTCCTCTCAAATTTTATAAATAGAATTATTATTCGGTAGATTTGTTTTTAAAAAAATAAATTGGTCGTCGGGGCATTCTGGTAATCTTTTTTTTTGTTATAACTATGTCCATGGGCATTTTTGACCAGAAAAATATTCAAAAAATGGTGAAAAAATAAGAGTCATTCTAGTAATAATACAATAATTTTGTGTCATTCTAGTAAACTTCCCTAAAAATGATTATAGAAATGATGTGGTAAATCACTTCACAAAAAAATATATAAGGGAAAACAAAGAATTAGGTGATAATCTGCACCTTGCGCGAAATAAAATACCTAAAAATTTACATGTTCGAATTAAAAGTAGATTATGGTTTTCAATTTTTATCCTCTATATATGAGATTTTTTTTTAAAAAGTAATAAAATATAGGTCCTGGTA